GGGGAGGGGGTGTTTGGGTGCCCGGCAGGGTTACCGGGTACCGAGCGGCAGTGAGGTGTTTCGGGGGCTGGGGTGCAGCAAAGGGGACACTGGAGCGGTGAAGGAGTGTTGGGGGGCAGGAAAGGAGGTTTCTGAGTGCAGTAGCGGGTGCAGGTGAGCCTCTTGTGCCCTTAGGTTTGTCCCCTTTCCCTCCACACATTGTAAGGTTTCCTCGTTTCCCCACAGATCACCCTTATTCCTCTCCATCCACATTTATTCCATGGTCATTCTCTTCCATGCATGCTCAGGTCCTCCCATTTCCCTCCACTTGAGGTCCAACCTCCTTCCATCAGTACGGAAGACACTTAAATGTGCATGCTGGTCATTTTCCTCTTGTCGCCAGAGGCTGAGAGCTTTGCATCTCCAGTTTGAGACTCTTGTTTTCTGCACTACCCTGAGCTGACAGTCCTGGTTGATGCTCAGTACCCGGGGACAGATGCTCTGGTGACATTTGTTGTGCACCTCACTTCCCCTATGTCCTGCTAGGGACAAAGTCCTTCCAAGCTTACAGGTGCCTGATGACATATTCCAAGATGGTTTTCTATCCATGGCATGTCCGGACAGTCCACAATGGCCTCTTAACCTTTCCTTTGTCAGAGCCAGAAGCTAGTAGTCCTGGATTACTACATCTGTGTCCTTGAGAGCCTCGCATGCCACCTCAGCTGCGCTGCTTCTTTCCATGCACAGTAGTCCACAGAGCTTGCAGTTTTTGGAAGTGCAAAATTAATTTTCTATGTCTGTTCCCTCGCTTTCAGCAAGGCATTACCTTTTTGCTCAGCTTCCTTCATGCACTCCATGGGCTAACATGCCCCTAACTTTGTGAGACACCCTTCCCTCCTATCTGAATTTTAACCTTGCTCATGTCTGCTGGCCTAAGAAAGGCACCAGCTTCATAATCCAATTTTGCAGTTGTCCAAAATCACTTCTGTTTCTTCTGTTGGCATCTGCCTTTTTTGGCTACAAGCTATTTCTTTTGCATCTGTCCAGAGCTAGTGCGATTTCTGAGAGCCCATTCAAGCACTATGTCCTTGGGACATGTTTTGCCTAACCCAACCCAACACAACAGCACCAAGGGAGGCTCGTGGCTCCCTGCGTTCAGACATGTCTGAGGTGATGGAAGTCAGAGTAGGTTGCAGGCCTTGCCTTGACCTCTGCTTTGCCCAGACCAAGTAATGCCTCCTCTTTTTCCAGTGCCCAGGAGCGAGTTCACCCCTACCAGGAACAAGCTTATGGTGACATGTGACACCATGATATCCTCTCTGCTACACGTGTCTCCTTGTACTTAGTTCAATATGCATTTCTGTTCCAACAACTGATCTTGGCAGATCAGATGGGAGGCTGCAATCCTAACACAAACTGTTCCCACTCCTCTTCCTGCTCAGCAAAGCCCACCACAGTGACTTACTGAGGGCAACTCTCTCTCCTGGCAATGTCATAAAGCTTAACAGCAATGATGGCCTATAGCAGTGTGAGACTTAAGGTGGGATGAAGAGGGAGGAGAATTTGGGTATGGCACAGAGCAGAACCTAGGAATTGTATGAAACTTCGTATGGGATATTTAGGGGAACAGACATAGGAAAGGGAAAGGGAGGAATCAGGGGAGGAACAAGCATGGGAAAATGGAAAGTAAAGGGAGAAAAGGGTTCGGTGGCATGTAAGGAATGGTGGGTATCCTTGCTGGCCTGAGCATCTTGTTTTATCACTGGAGTCTGTCCTACACTCTATTAAATCATATTTCTTCTGTGGGACTGTGGCCCCCATTCCGAACCTGTGTTTTTGACCAGCTGGTGAACCTCAGGCTAGACCAGCTTCTCAGTAGAACAGATCTTGATGCCCAGTACGGCAAAACCATGTAGGGTCCGAGCATCCTCAGCATCTGGGTGCTGGGCACCAAAGAACCATGCTCAGTGTCTGTAAGTGCACACGCACAAATATGTGGGTGGTTGACCATCTCCCAGGTGGACCAGCCAGTGCACAGGACAGGCAAGTAGACCCTGGGCAAAGTTTCGGCAGATGTCTCTTGGCAGAAACAGGGATGGGCCATACCCTGGTTCCTATAGTTCACCCAGGCTCAGCTTCCTCTAAGGTAAACCCCCTTCAACCATGGCTTAAACTGATAGTCTTCTGCCCGAGTAGTTTGCCTTGTGATGCATTCCGATTGTTTTAATGCCTGTGGGTTAGCCTACAATTAGGGTCTCAGTTCTAGAGGTCTGTGGTTTGTTACTTTAATGTCTAGGCTTGGGGTGTGCTGGAGAGAGTGAGGCAAGGGTAAGATCCTCTGCCTAAAAAGAAACCCATTCCTAGCCCCAAACAAAGAAGAGGCGAGTCCTTAGCATTGGAAAAGTATATTTTTGGGTGACACTATAGCGTAAAAGAGGGCTGCTGTCTCTGAGGAATAACAGTGAGTCTGTGAAGTGGGGCATTGGGATGAATCTCATCACCATTTATAAGTCTGTTACTGCAGTGAACTGACTCTCAGCTGAACTGGAGGTCTGAGATAATAAACTGTACCTAGTACTATGTTTTTACTAACACTCTTCCTCTTTTTTGGAATCGAATTTCCACTTGATTCTTAAAACATCTGCCTGGAGATTGAAAGTTTGGCTGACTTACAGCATGTCAGTTGGTAGTGTCCTGGCAGGGGTGTTTGGTTGCCCTAGTAAGACAGCATCCCTGCATTAAGTGACTTAATGAAGTGACTTAATTCAGAAAGGAAAAGCAATGAAAAGGAATGGGTAGGAAAGAGAAAGTAAAAGAGGAAGAGAACATGACAGCTGTCAGAGGAAAAATTTTCCATACACAGGTTAAGTTTTACTAAAAATGAAACTTCAAATTCAGTGTCAATATCCCAAAGGTTAAGGAAGAAGGTCAGAAGAGAACAAATGCAACTAGTAGGACTTGTTCATCAGATTCTATCATCATCATCACCATCATCAAACTAATCACATCTTCTTTTAAGGTTTTCTGAGGCAGTGCAGCACACTTTAATGGCACATCCTATGGATGATATCTCCTTCTAGGGATGATTCACTGTAGTCCAGGTACTCCCAAACTCCCAAATTCAGTGCTTGAATAAAGTAGAACGTCCAGCCTACCTCCAGGAC